AAACAGCTGGAGTCAGAGGAGGCGCGAATGAATCCGCTTCAAACCGGTCCGAGGTCCGAGGAAAAAGCAGCTAATTTTTTCAATGAATACTGTGTAAATCAAAATTGAAAAAAAAAAGCCGAAAGTAAGACTATATGCCAACAGTCCGAGAGTTTCACCCCGATTGCTGCTCAATTTAAAAAAAAAGCTAATTGTACCTCGAGTTATTTCATCCGTGTGTTTCGCAAGTTGCCTGTATGTCGGCAGTAACAGCCCTTTGCAGTGCTTAAAAAGCTGCGTTATACAGTCCAAATGGTAACGGTCGAACTTGCGCGCCAAAAATGCCTAAAAAAATTAATAAAAACTCATTTTCGGAATATTTCAGGAAATCGATTACAAAAAAGAACGAATGGTAAATTACAGCCGTAAGAAAGCCGAATTATGCCCGAAAGAGAGCTGGGCGGTCCAAAGAAATCAAAATGTGGGATAGCCGGAGCCACAAGTTAAAAGGAAGGACGGGATAAGATTTGGGGTCACTGGTAGGTCAAGCCGTAATCTGTAAAACAAGCAGGCAGTTCAAACCATAAAAAATGCCCAGGCCATGTATAACTACTCTCAACCCATGTGCAACTTGAAGATTTCAAATTCAGCTCCCAAGTATGTGTTGTTAATCACACATCACGTCGCAAGTTCTAAACTGCTGATTCCGATGATCCTTGAGAATTACTCTGTTGACCAAAAAAAAAAAAGAAAATTGCAACGGGATTAGCTGCTGCCACTGCAGTAATTGCTAAGTGGTACCCAAAATTGGCAAAAAAAAAGATATTTGCAAAAATCTCGTTGCTTCAGAATGTGTTGAAATCAACAAACTATAGCATGCATCTCGTAGCTTTGATTTGTTTTACGTTCATGCTCGAAGAATGCTTCTGGATCCGGATAAACTGTGAGAAATTCGTTGATGTTAAATTCATTGCCATCTTCTCCCAAATAAGCTTTGCGACGCTGCTCCGCATATTCAAAACGTACGCGATCTTTGATCTTCGGATAAGTATGTTTGAAAAGATCTGCAAACGTTCAAACATTCGTTTAAACACTTACAGATCCTTTCAAAGGACCGCTTTTGCTAGTGATTTTCTTACGTCCAAACGTATCCACAGCTTGAAGGGGATACTTTTCGGCAGTGAGCCAGATAATTTTTCCTAATAAAGAAAGGCAAAAGGGGGAAAATTTAAGGGGCCTCCCAAAAATTCAAGCTCAATTAAGCTATAGCGACAATTTTATACAAATATGACTTCCTGTAGCTGCGGTGAAAAGTTTTTTTTTCGTATACGCCCTCTATAAAAGTTGGGGGCCTCTATGGGGACATTTCGACCTCTATGGTATATGACAGCCAACTTACTGTGGAAAAAAAAAACAAATGAAAAAATCGTGGAGAGATTGGATGCCCCTATAAAGACGAGAGCTTTGTCTTCCACCTCCCAGTCGGAACTACAAAACACAAAGAATCATCCTTCGATGACATTCCAGCTGAACATCAAGAAACAATGCTTCCATCAGGGATCGGATCCCAACAGGGATGCGACTGTCCGTTCCCAGTCCACCATTTCCCCCGCCAACTTTCTCATCGTAGACTGAATCTACGGCGATAAAATCCATTCCTGGTTCCCGTGGCATCCTTTCGGGGATCCTGGATTGGTTGCCTCACTGGCGGATCCGAATCCTTAAACATCAGCGTGACAGTAGCACTATTTGCCATTACATTACAAAAAATAGCCAAAATAATAGACTCAAAGCATAAAAAAGTGGCAAAAAAGAAATCTGCACTAACGTTCTACGGCCGATTCCATGGTCACTACAACTTTCTTCCATAACAGATCGTAAACGTAGGACGGGTCCACAGTTGGTACCATCTAAAAAAAAATGACAATACGAACAATAAAAACGATCGAAATACTGATGATGATGGCGTAAACTGAAGG